AAAACAATTGAATTTTGTCGAAAAATTTTATTAAAATGATATAAAAAATAATTGAATTCCTGCGAAGAATTTTTTTTTACATGATTCAATAATTAACTAAAAATTTTATTTTCCATATTTTTAATTCTTAAATAAGAACCCAGATTTGGTCCAAATTGAGAAAATTTCCACACGGGTTCTTATTCACAGAAAAAAGTAAATTTACAAAATATATTATTTTACATCGATTTTCATTCAGTTCGTAATTCTTTTCTTCTTCTTTTTTTTTATTGTAATTTAATTAAACGAAAATGATACTCGAAATTCAATACGCCTAGGAAATGCAGTAGAAGCAATTTTGAATATTGATTTTTCGCACTATAAATTTCCGCAATTTTTCCGAATCATGAGTCTGTAAAGCGTGTAAATTTCAATTTAATTCTCTGTTTTCAACGGCGATGGAAATTCGTTTTCTCCCTCTAATCCAATACGTAGATAAATAAAAAAAAGAACAAAAAATATACAAATGAAAAAATAATAATAACAATAAAGAAATTATTATTTTCTAAAAATTCGACGAATCGAAAATTTTCGTATATTAACATTATGTGTTTGATAGTTGAATACATTTTATGCTTGATATTAATTAACAATTGGATAAAAATATATAATTATATTTTAAAATTAGATTTTCCCCTCACAGAAGAAAATATATTTAGAAATAATATTTCTTTCTGAAAGATAAAATTAAAAGAATACAAATAATGATGTTTCATAAACAAAGGCATTTGAGAATATTATATAACAACCGAGAAAGCAATTTTTCCTTATTTACCATTACAAGTACAAAAAAGATGAAATTGGTTCGGAAACGGACAATTTAATTTTGCATTTTACTCTATTATTTCTTTTTTCTAGTCATAAGAGACTGTCTTTTTCATGAAAGAAATAAGAAATGAAAACATTACATTCAATATTATTCATTGTCCTGTTCTCACAAGTATCTTATTTTTTGAAGTTCTTCTTTTGAAAAAAATTTTTTTTTTAAATAAATCGAAATTTTCGAAAAAAGAAAATTCGAAACGAGAATCACTCCGGAAGAGTATTTTTAGTTTTGTAAATGTCTGAACCTTAAAAATTTTCAAGAATAATATTTTTTATTTATAATGTTTGTTATACGTTAATACACCAAAAAAAAAATGTTATTTGATTCAAATAAATTGTCTATTATCAAATAAATATTTATATCGAATAATTTTTATTTGAATCGATTAAATGTTATTTGCACTAAATACTGAAATTATTGGTTCAAATAAAATTTATTTGATACAACACAATTTATTTGATTCAAATATATTTGATTAAAATTTATTTGATTTAAGTATATTTGATTAAAATTTATTTGATTCAAGTATATTTGATTCAAATGTATTTCATTCAAACTTATTTGATTCAAATTTATTTGATTCAAATTTATTTACTTTAAATAAAAATTATTTAATTTAAGCAAATATTTATTTGATACCAGAAAAGTAATCAGTTGAGTCAAACAAGTTTTTTTCAGTCCAAAAAGAAAATTAGAAAAATGAAAAAAAATCCTCTTAGCAAACTTTCTCTATGATATCAACTTTTATGTATTTTTAAAATCAATTGGAATTAAAATTCTAAAATTAGAAAGTTTAATCTTAAAAACAGAATATTAATTAAAAAATTATCTTCAACTTTGATACTGAATCTTGAAAATTAATTCAATGAAATATATAGTGTTTCATTCGAGCGGTATATTATACGAGAGGCAAAAAAAACTATTTTCCTTTTGTTTTGACAACCGAGCTGTCATAATCGCTCGCCTTATTTAAGTGAATATCTCTTGTTAAACCGATCGATGGCTTCGATCAACATAGAAACTCGTTTCAAATATATATACATATACACACACATTGCTCAAACGTTAATTTTGATTTTAATTATGAATTTTGCCTTTGTTTATCAAGTTCATTATTTTAATTCACTTTACATAATTACTCATTTTTGATTTTATAATACTAATTTCAGTTCTTTAATTTTGTTTTTAATATAAAATTCTGTTATTTCTATTTTTTCTATTTTTTGTTGAGAAATATTTTCACTAAGCATTTAATTAGAAAAAAATTATTAGTTAATAAGGTAGTTAAAATGTCGGTTTTATCACTCAGCGGTAATTAATAATGAAGATGATATTGTCGACCACTCTGACACAGGTTAAAAAATAAAAGACTAAAAAATAGTAAAGAGTGAACTTTTATTTTCTAACATGACTCAGATTTAGAATCCTCGACAATATCATTTTCATTATTAATTATTAATTATTTATCAATTAAATTCATTCGTAGGTTATGTCAAAATAACTAATATTTCTCGAAAGCTAATTCAATTATGAAAATTTGACTTTTTTCCTACTATTATTTAAAAATTAACTAATTTTTAGTTAAAAACTAACTAAAAATACTAATTTAGAAAAATCATTTAACTATTTTTGTTAATTGTTATTAAATGCAAAAACTAATTTTTAGTAGATAAATAACTAAAGAAACTAATTCGATTAAGCACGTTGGACGATTTTCTACTAATTATTATTAGAAAATGACTAAGTTTTAGTAGAAAATTGACAGAAAAGAACTAATTCAATTAAAGATTTAACTATTTTCTACTAATTATTAGTAAAAGAAAAAACTAATTTTCAGTAAAAACATAACTCAAAAACTAATCAATTCAAAAACTTTGACTATTTTCTAATTATTATTAAAAACTTACTAATTTTTTTGTAGAAAAATAACCAAAAATACTAATTCAATTAATCAACTTCTTTCTATTAATTATTAGTTCAAGAAATAACTAATTTTTAGTAATAATATAACTAAAAGAATTAAAAGAATTAATAAAATTGGTACTTTCAAAATTATTTTTCTACAAAATATCAGTTTTTTTTTATAAATAACAATTAGTTATTTTTATTAATTGCTCAAGCAGAAAGTTCAACTGAGATTTTTATTAATAATTACTTAATTTTTAATTAATTCAAATTTAATGTGCCTTTTATATTTGACGGAAATTTAAATTTAAAATACATGGATAATTTTATTTAACGATAAGACAGTTATTTTAACTCTCTCTCTCAATATTGTTAATTTGTCACTCCATAAAACGATTTATTATTAAAAGATGACCTATTATTTAAATTAAACAACTCGTTTTCATCTTTTATTTTTGGTTATCGCCTTTTGCGCAAATTGGTTTACTATCTGACTTAGCGATAGTTTTCACTATTTTTTTTTAGCAGAAACTGCTAATTTCTAGTAGAAAACTGATAATTCGTGTAATAATTCGAATTTTTTTATTTCAAATTAGTAAAACGACTAACTACCTAAATTAATAATTTTCTACCAGAAATTAGTGGTTTTCTACCCGAAATTAGTAGTTTCTACTAAAAGTTAGTTGATAAACTAGAAACTAATATTTTGTGTAATAAGTCGGCTTACTAATTTGAAATAGTAAAAGATACGAGTTGCTACACGAATTAGTAGTTTTCTACTAGAAGTTAGTAGTTTCCTACTAACAATTAGTAGGTTTTTACTAAAAATTAGTCTAAACTGTTGCTAATTTAGATAGTAAACGAATTCTCACTACTTCTTTACTATAAAAATGAATTAGTAGTTTTTTACTAATGAAATAGTCAGAATTCGTTTACCAATTGAATTAGTAACAGTTCTGACTAATTTTTAGTAGAAAAACTACTATTTGCTAGTATGGAACTACTAATTCATTAGTAAGTCGTATTTTTACTATTTCAAAGTAGTAAATCGACTTAATACATGATTTAGTAGTTTTCTACTAGAAATTAGTAGTTTTTTTACCAGAAATTAGTACTATTCTACTATTTGCTAGTAGGAAACTACTAATTTATTAGTAAGTCGTATTTTTTAGTATTTCAAATTAGTAAATCGACTTACTACATGATTTAGTAGTTTTCTACTAGAAATTAGTAGTTTTTTACCAGCTATTAGTACTATTCTACTATTTGCTAGTAGGAAACTACTAATTTATTAGAAAGTCGTATTTTTACTATTTCAAATTAATAAATCGACTTACTACATGATTTAGTAGTTTTTTACCAGCAATTAGTAGTTTTGACTAAAAATTAGTAGTTTTTCACTAAAATTTAGTCAGAACTGTTACTAATTCAATAGGTAAGCGAATCCGCACAATTTCATTTGTAGAATACTGTAAATTCATATTTAGAGAGTAATAATCAAAAAACCTACTACTTCAAATTTAGAGAGTACTTATTCAATGTCACAATTAAAATTTCTCACCTCAACAGACAAAACATTAAAAATAAAATATCAATCACTTCCTAAGCAGATCTGATACAATCGCCTTTCCCATTTATCCTCAAAATTTCCCCCAAGTCATTATCCGAGGCATTAAATTTAAATAAAATGCCATAAATTCACCCGCGCCATGAGAAGCTTATAATTACGTTATGAACTAAACACAAATAGATGTATTCCCTTGTTAGAAATATATTTCACTTTATGTTTACCTAATATTCAGACCCTTGAATCGAAGGTCGGACCCGCCCCTTTTACTTTACATGTAAAATTTCTCCAGTATCAAGCAATTAATAAAATACATATAAACTATTCGGAAACTAATTAAAACTTTCATATTATTTTGCACAAAACGGAAATTATTTTTTTTCCACTCTCAAGCAAGCTCTGAAACAAGCTCCATAGTAAAGCGAAATTTACACTTTACAGCAAGGTTCAAAGTGCGCGAGAGGAAAAAAGAAAAAGTGTCTATGAAAAATGGCAGAGAAAAAAAAATTTTTTTTTGGGAAAAATATTCAGACGGTGTAAGAAACATAAATTTCCCGAGAAAAAAATGAGGGGGGGGGGGTGTGTTAATTTTATTCTTACGTAATCAATAATATTCCTGACATTCTTATTGCAATATGTAAAAATGATAAATATAAAAATTACCCTTGCAAAGTGCGTCTTTTTCCAGTTGAGTTAAGGCGTCCTCGCGAGAAAGAAAGAAAGAAAGAAAAAAAGAAAAAGATAGAGGGGTGGGGGGTAAGAGGTGGGAAAATGGAAGACGATAGGAAGAAAAGGATCGTTCCTCAGGGGGGGGGAGAGGTTGAAGGAACTAAAAGGAGCAACTCCTTGAAACACTTGAATTCCTCCGTAGGACTACTTGCGCTCCACCCATAGGACTTTAATTTAACACTACTCCAACTCGCGATTCTAACCGATTGATTGTCGATTGTTCTCACTGCACCTGAGAGAGAGAGAAAACCACTTTTCTAATTGCAATCGATTCGATCTACACTGAAACAAGTACTTCCTCAATTAGAATCATTGTTACACATTTATTCTTTTCAATTAGCCTCGTTATCTCCTGATGGCGAGAAAAAATTCAAACAAAAGGCCTCTCCTCTCTCCCAGTAAGTAAATCCGGGAATTTTGATAATTTATATTCGACTCGTTGTGCAATAACGAGAATTTGATTAATTGATTTTTACATCTGCGCTCTTTCGCTCGACCCATTGGCGGTCGTCACTACTACCTTCACACAGTTTTATTATTTTCAACAATTAATTTACTTTTCTTATTTCGGTCTCACTTTGGTCTCCTGACAAACTTTTTTCAGCACAAATTGTTGTTTTTTTTTTGCAATCACTTCCACATTTTTTTTTATTATTTACAAAATTTCAATAATTTTTTTTTTAGTACACTTAATCCTTTAAAAACACTCGAAGAATATTTTTATTCAAAAAATTGACACTCACTAAACACTATTATCAATCCTCAAGCACCAATCTCGTCCTAGGACACTTTTTCTTCGGCGACATTGATCTCTATCACTTTCGTAAAGTTTCACATGATCCAATAAACACTCTCCTGTTTTGTTTTCCATTTTTGCATGATTTCAAATTCCAGTGTAAAAAAAAAAAACTTGGGTAAAAATCTAGATCGATACTTTTGGCGATCTAAAAGTTTTCAATAGGAGAAATTTTATTATCCTACTGAGCATTGTAGTAACCTTTTTTTCCTAGTAGAAATTTTTGTCAACTGTATAATTTTCGTTCACTTTTTTCTTCACTTTTTTTACTTAAAAAAAATTTTTTTTTTTTACTTTTATTTTCACTTTTATTTAAAATAAAAAAGTTGATTTTCGGAAAAACTGCCAAACACCGATTGTATGCGCGCGCGAAACAACCACGAGTGATGCTGAGCTCGGACTGGAGCCTCTGCTGTGGCGCTAGTGTCGCCAGGGGGGGGAAACCAAGAACAAACCCCTCCACCCTTGCATTTCCACCCCAATCACCACCGCCACACCGCCACCGCTCCTCTCAAACCTCAGCCATCACCCAGCAACGGGTTTTTAAACCACTTCGCTCCTTCATCCCCCTCTTATTCTATGGTTTATATCTTACTGCACGACAAGGTGCGAAATTGATCAACATAAACACTTTCTTTTTTTTTCCCTTTGCCCTCTTATTTATTTCCACTATATCGTTGAGTAAAAATGAATTTTTCATTTTTCCCTTCTTTGTTTAGGAGAAAAAGAAAATCTAACCGCTTCTTCATTATATGTCTTTTAACAAATCTTTGCACGTGAAATGATTGCATGAAAAGTACTTGATGTAGGGAAAATTCATAGAAAATGCATCGAAATTCTGAGAGTATAGTGATTCTGAAGAAATTTCACGAGAAAATTCTATAAAATTTTTGTCACAAAAAGTGTGGTTGAAATTTTATAGTAATTTTTCTTTCAGTAGTTGTAAAGGATTTTTTTAATACGATTAAAGTGGAAGATTTTTGTAATTTTTTTTATTAATAGTAACATAGAATTATTTTAATAATAATATAATTTTTTCTAAAAAGAAATTTTGTTAAAAAAACTTTTTCATATGAGCAACTTTAGTAAGAGTAGTAAAAGATAAGTTTAGTCAGACACATCTTTAAGTTTTTGTAATTTTTTAACGAGCAATGAAAGACAACTTGAATCAAATTTGTCAATAAGTAGCAAAAGTAACAATTTCAGTCAGACAAAACTAATCTTTTACAATTTTTTAATCAAGATAATTTTAAGTAAAAAATACTTTAAATTTAAGAACTTTGTAAATAAGTAGTAGAAGGCCAGTTAAGTCAGACAAAAGTATGACTTTCCGTAATTTTTTAAACAGTATCATTTTTGAATCATACAACATTAATCAGACAACTCTAAATTTTTAAAAATAAGTAGTAAAGGTCAATTTCAGTCAGACGGAATTGTAAAATTTGATAATTTTAATGTACCTAAATCAACAATGAAAGAAACTTTTAGTCAGAAAACTCTTTAAGTTCAGGAAATTTGGGAATAAGTAGCAAAGGACAATTTCAGTCAGACAAAATTGTCAATTTTAATACTTTTTGTGTAAATCAACAATAACAGAAATTTTTAGTGAGAAAACTATTTAAATTCAGGGAATGTGGGAACTAGTAGTAAAGGTCAATTTCAGTCAGACAAAATTGTAAACTTTAATAATTTTAATGTAAATCAACAATAAAAGAAATTTTTAGTTAGAAAATTCTTCAAATTCAGAAAATTTGTGAATAAGTAGCTAAACACAATTTCAGTCAGACAAAACAATGAGTTTTAGGATTTAAATTAGTAGTGGCAAATGATATTAGTCAGACAACTCTAAATGTTTGAAAATTTGTAAAAATGAGTAGTAAAAGTTAATTTTAGTCAGACAAAGCTTTAAATTTTTTAAATATTTTCTCAATCAGCAAAGAAAGACAGTTTAAAATTAGTTTAGAATTAGTAGTGACAAATAATTTTAGTCAAACAACTCTAAACGACTAAAAATTTGTAAAATTAAGTAGTAAAAGTCAATTATCCCTCGGAGAACACATGAGGTCATTTTGGCCCCACGATTTTTTGCGAAAATCTTTTTTCTATTGTTTAATATTTTTTATAAGGATTTTAAAGTCCACAGACTCATTTTACAGAGTTTAAACTATATTTTTAAAAAATCTTTAGGCTAATCAGATGAACAGTTCAAAATTGTTTGAGCATTGAAAAATGATCTAAAAAAGAGGTGTGTTCTCCGAAGGTTAAAGTCAGACAGAGCTTTAAATTTTTCTCAATCAGCAGAGAAATCCAATTTTAAAAAAGATATACTTTAAATTCGAAAAATTTGTGAATAAGTAGTAAAAGACAATTTCTTTCAAATAAAAATGTAAAATTTAATAATTTCTTTTTTATAAATCAACAATGAAAGAAATTTTTAGACAGAAAACTCTTTAAATTCAGAAAATTTAGGGAGTACTTACTCCCTAAATTTTAAGTAAAGGTCAATTTCAGTCAGACTAATTTTGTGAATTTTAATAATTTTAGTGTAAATCAACAATAAAATAAACTTTTAGTCAAAAAAATCTTTAAATTCAGGAAATTTGTGAATAAGTAGTAAAGGTCAATTTCAATCAGACGAAATTGTAAATCTTTAGTAAGAAGTCTCTTTAATTTTAAGAAATTTGGATATAAGTACTAAAGGTCAATTTTAGTCAGACGAAATTGTGAATTTTAATAATTTTTATAAAAATGAACAGTAAACGACACTTTGAATTAGAAAATTATTTAAATTTAGAAATTATTGAAATAAGTAGTAAAAATCCATTTTAGTCAGACAAAGCTTGAAATTGCTATAAATTTTTGTGAATCATTAGAAAAAGACAATTTTGAAAAAGAATAGTGTTTAAATTGGAAAAATTTTTGAATAAGTAGTAAAACACAATTTTAGCCAGACATAACTATAAGTTTTTGGGTTATTGAATTGACAAATAAAAACAACTTTGAATGTCTGAAAGTTTGTAAAAATAAGTAGTAAATGTCCATTTCAGTCAGACAAAGTTGTAAGTTTTAATAATTTTGAAATCATAAGTGAAATAAACTTTTAGTCAGACAATTTCTTAAATTCAGGAAATTTGAGAATTAGTAGTAAATGTCAATTTTAGTCAGACAAAGTTTTAAATTTTTATACATTTTTCTCAATCAGAAGAGAAAGACAATTAAAAAAAATATATCAATTTCAAGAAATTTGTGAATAAGTAGTAAAAGACCAGTTTAGTCAGACAAAACTATAAGTTTCTCTAATTTTTTCATCAGTAGTGTCAGACAATTCTAAATGTTTGGAGATTTATAAATAAATTAATTTCTGTCAGGCAAGGTTGTGAATTTGATTAATTTTTATATAAATCAACAATAAAAGACACTTTTATTCAGAAAATTTATTAAATTCAGATAATTTGGGAATAAGTACTAAATGTCAATTTCAGTCAGACAGAACTGTAGATTGTGATAATTTTCAAATTAGCACTAGAACATAATTAAAAATCTCAGTCAAAGAATCAATTTCAACATTTTTCAGCTAAAAATCAATTAGGAATAAAACAATAAGTCAATTTTTACTAATTTTCAAAGTAAACTTCATAGTAACAATTAGCAATTCGTGAACTATTTTTCTAGCCATCTATCGGTAGTTATAAAATTATAATGGAGCGAAATAAAATTATTTGGTTCTATTTTTCTCCAACTAACATTGAAAAAAATTTTACTAGAAAAATTTAAATATGATTACGAATGAAAGCTCAATGGACGATTCATAGAAAAATGAACTCGCTTTTTTGAATTACTCCTTTAAAATTGCATTTAAAATAAAAAAGCTCTTTTTCAAAAACAAAGGGACAATTTTTTAAAAAGCTTACTTATAGTTAAATTATCCACTCAACTAAAGTCGAGATTCTTTCAACATACGTAATAAACAAAAGAACTCTAATCTTTATTTAATATTCCCTAATTGATGCATAAAGAAAATTTTTCTCTTGCAAAAAAAGTTTTTCAAACAGAATATATTGAAGAAAAAATTGGAATTACTTAAAAAACGATTTCAAGATATAACTTGAATTTACAAAGTTCTTAACTTCGACTAGCTTCAAAATCTGCAGAATTTCTCTCTTGAGGTTTGAATCAACAAACTCGCAAGTGACAGTTGACAACTGAAACCACAGACAATCTCATTTGCGTCTATCTTTCAGTAAACCTTGCCTGTCAAAAGTTTTACCGAGAATACACAATTTAAAAATACTTTTGTCATTCCCTCCTTTATATACTTAAATATGTTACTCTTTATATATTTTAGAACTTCAACGAGAAAAACGCAATTCACTCTCTTAAGGAAAGGCTCAAAGATTTCTATTGATTTTTCACAGGAAAATTTTACCAAATCCGTTATGTGTAATTTTTTTATTATAAATGTTAAACTATAGTTTATCAAATAAAGTGTTTTTTCAGTAAACGAATTTTAAATTTAATCCTAGGATAAAATTTAAAATTCGTTTACTGAAAAAACACTTTATTTGTTTTAAATAAACGAGTACTTGTCTATTATCAAATAAATATTTATTTCTTTATTTATTAATTTATTTGTTCCAAAATTATTTTTAAAAATAACAGCCAAATATTTGTAAGAGGTGAAAAAAGTATCAAAAGATATCAACAGTCACATGAGTCCGAGGCCTGTAATTCGATTTAAAAAAATATTTATTGGATAATATGTGTATTATCCAAATAAATATTTTCTAACCGTTTATTGAAATCATATAATTTTTTCTCATTGTACATACAGTAAAAACTGATAATTCAAAATTTTTATTACACTACACTCTTTAAGTATATAATTTAACAACATGAAATAAATTAGAAATAAATAATTTTAATTGCATACAACAATAATTAATTTTCGGTACAGAATTGATTATTGATTTAATCAACACCTATCAAAGCGTGCGTGACACATAAAGTACGTGTTTGTATTAACAAATTCAATAGCTCAAACAGCCCGTGTTAAATTTGTACTAGTTGGAATATGAAATTTGCTTTAAGCTCTTTACACAAATTTTAAAAAGGAAATTATAAACTATAATAAAAAATTATTTTTCCATATACAATTATCTTTGACACAAAATAATATTTGATTGAAAAAAAAATATTATTAAAAAAGTAATTTAAACAATGATTATTACGAAAACAATTTTCCTCATCAGTTAACGTTTTTAAGCAATATGTCAAATCGATTTGAGTGGAAAAAGCCGAAAGCAGAATGAAGCAGCTCTCGGTGAAGTCGATTTACAGTTTTTTTCGACGCGAAAAATTGGCACGATCATGGAGATGCTTCGAGCTTCGTTCCGCGAAACTAAGTTAATTAAAACACGATATCAAATATTGGAATTGCGCTATATCCATGAATCAGTTTTTCGGGTTACTCTTATCATTTTATATAAATTTTTTAAAATACGATAGATAAAAGTAATTAATTTTCAAATAAATCTCCATCCATATATATACTTTACTAATTATATTGAAATTTTACAAATAT